CGCGCGCGCGCGCGCGCGCGTGTGTGTGTGTGTGTGTGTGTGTGTGTGTGTTGGTGTGTGTTGGTGTGTGCGCAAGCTGTGCGTCAGATTCTTATGAAAATTATACCGAGCAAGTATATCGGAATAACGAACGCGGCGCTCATTATCGATCTCGCATTTGTTTTGGTTCTTTCCTCGCTGCAGTGCGTTTTCGTGGTTCGACTCCCTTCGCATTTTTCATTCGTCTCTTATATGTTTTTCTGCTGATAACTGGAGACCGATCCATCTCGTGTCGCGTAATATGTTGCGATCGCAGATGAAAAGCGGAAATATATGAAAAATGAAATGTCTGAAAAGCATGATGAGAAAGGAGTAATGGACGAGGTAGGCATTTCAAGAGAGATCAGCGTAACGTGAAAGAAAATATTTCTTTCGCGACATCGTCTCATGCGCGCGTGCACCGTGCATACACGTAGCGCAATCCGCGCAGTGCCTGTAGTTGCGACCGTGTAAACTTGGCAACCGGCTTAATCGGAAACGCGCACGCGGATTGGCGAAATTCGTTTATCTGGCATAGGCGTTGCAATCCCGGCGTAATGTTTTATTAATTAAAAGTTTCGCGCACGCGCCCGCGCGGCTAGGGTAAATTGCGAGATGCTTAAGCGCAAGTAGTAATAAAACGTTGCGGTTGATGCTAATGAAACACACAGTGGAACGAACATTCATAATAAGCGGTGGCCGCCCAAAACAGAGCGTAACGGGCGTTGCGCTCATTACTTTGCGACGGTATTTCGCGAAATGTATTTTACAGTCGGAAGATATTAAACATTCTGGTCCTTTACTATTCTGGGACGTAGTCTGTAATTTTTCTAACGAACTGCCGGGGACACGAACTCGCCGACTGTATTTTCGAGGATGCTACCAGAACTGCATTTCACGCGTAATTAAATCTTTCAGAATTCTGCGAGAGTCAAGAATAGCGTTTAAAACTCTACGTTGTGAACAGTGTTTGAAATATTATTACGTCGTGTGATGTCAGTACAATATATATTACAATCGCGTAGCAATTTCAAACAATTACGAGGATGACGATACTATTTTCATTAACACAATTATTGAAATATAAAAAAAAAACAAATACTGGCATTCAACAAAATGTGGTTCACGATTTTATTTTTATCGAATTTCGTAATAATAATAGGACATCCAACATACGTGCAAACACGTGTGAGGTTAAAATTCAGCTAAATTCCAATCTATTTTGATTAAATTTAATCAGGTTTAATATCATTATATTATTAAAAATCAAATGTTTTGTCAATTTTATTGCAATATTGTTGGATTGCAATAAAATTGTTGATTTGGCAGAGGACCATCATAATTCTAAGTTCATTAATTTTCGGGCGAAACTGTTCATTAGTTAAATGCGCACGCGTGTAATAAAAATGTAGATATTTTAATTCGGAAAAATATAATAATTCGATACTTGCAATTTACAACAGTTCTTTTCTCACAAAAATATTATCTCTTAAAAAAAATGATCTTTTGCATTCATTTCGTCCGAAACAGAAACGCGATAATTTTTTATTCACGATGATACAGCTTCTTTTCATCGAGCGTCATAATCATCGCCGTACTCGACCGCGAATAGCAATACTAAATCCGCAAGCCGCGCCAACTAAAGCTAAATCGTAGCCAACTGAGTCCGATGAAATCCAAACGCGGTCCAAAGTACGGAAGTTCCCAAACCCTTCTGCCCTCTTTCCGATTCGCGTCTCCGTTTCCCCTTTTGCTCTCTTTCGCGCGTTCGCGAATGCGCGCAAGCCGGGGAATGGTGATCAGTCCGCGGATGTCTCTGCACGCATACGCACATCTTTGGAAAAGAGACCGTGTGTACGTGTGCACGCGTGTGCAAGTGTACGGACATACGGTTTGCATGTGCGTACGTGGAGGGGCCACAGAGCAGAGCGCGGAGCCCCGAAGCATAGTCTCGACTCGACTCGAGCGGCTGAATCGATCCACCAGCCTTCTCCTGTACGCTCTCTGCGCCCCCAGAACCAGAGCGCCGAACGAACGAACACCTACCGTCCCGTGCCGAACGCCCACCCTCTTTCTGCCGCTGTCTCGTTCTCTTTCTCGTCTGGCTTTCACCCCGTTCCGTCTAGCTTGCCTGTTCTCTCTCTCTCTCTCTCTTCTCTCTCTCTCTCTCTCTCTCTCTCTCTCTCTCTCTCTCTCTCTCTCTCTCTCTCTCTCTCT